ACCAATACTGACAAAGCGAGATAACACTGCAGGATGGATCTTTGGTGAAATATAAATTATTTTTTAATACACCCGTTACACTTACTCATTTCTATAGACTAAATCAACGGTAACACTAAAGTGTGGCTGAAATCCATTTCACTAAAGGACAATGGTCATAGTAAAGCGCTTTGAGGGCCCCGAAAAGCGCTATATAAATGCAATCCATTATTATTAATATTATTATAATTATTATAGAGAAACACACACCAAATACAGTAAAAACATTAGTTTTTCTAAATGGTGGAGTCAGTTGTTGTCCACCACACTGGACACTGAAGGAGCCTGTTTCTTGTTTCACACAGCTTAAAACCAGCTGTGTGGCATCTGGAGCAGCATTGCAACTTTTCTGTTGCCTTCCTACATCAGTTTTATTTGATCTGTTTTTACAAAAGAGTAATAATAATATTAACTTTAAATCTGTTTCTGTAGGGCCATCATCAGTTATTTTAGTCAGGTTTGTTTCATGTAGTTGACATGTACTGGCCCAACAGTCATAATCATATGTTTTGCATTGTGGCAGATAATACCTGCCAATCAGTGACTGAATAAAAGGGCAGAAATAACCACGTTTTCAAAGCTGTTCTGAACTGCAAGGAGATTGGTGCTGTTTTAAAGGCAAAGACTGGCCCTGCTGTTCGTTGTCCTCTATTTTAAGTGCCTAAAACAGTTACCCGGTACCTAATACTGTTTAGCGCAGCCCACATGTCAGTGTCTGTTTCTGCTTGTAACCAAAGGTTTCTTGCCACTGCTGACAAATGTCTCACACCTTGTAAAATGAGTACACTCAGATAGCCCAAAGAGAAAGGGAAACAGTGAATGTGGCTGAGCAGCTGTGGGAGAAAGAGAGTCCACTTCTTTCTCAGTATAAAGCAGCTGAGTAGCAACAGTTAAGTGGTACCTGGCCAAAAATCTGTTTTAAAAAAATGTGGGGTTTTTTTCTTACAACTGTTAGTACAGAAATAATCAATTTCTTTCTCTCTGTTGGATTTCCTCATTGTGTATAACTCTTTTTATTCCATCAAAAAACAATCCTAACGTTTGTTTGTTTTACTATTTTTCTCATCAAAGGAAGGGCCAGCTCCACATGTTGACAGAGAGAAAGTCTATTTATTGGCTTCAGAAAGTCAGAGGATGGTGGGGGGGACAGAGCGAGAGAGAGCTGTCTTGACAGTTCTCTCTGGGAGCGCACATGCACGCTCAGCCAGGTCTCTGTAATCACCATTTTGCTGAGTGGTGGTTATATCTTCCAGAGGAGTTCACGCCCCCTTGAACAGTTTTGGCTGACTTTGTGGTACACTTCTGACAGAGAGAGAGAGAGAGTGCAGGGGAAGAGGAGGGAATGTAGTTGCTTGTGGGAGGAGAAGGAGGAGGGAGTGAACGAGAGGAAGGAGAAGCCTTCTCAGTTTCTGTGAGTCCTGCTGGCTGTAGGCTACAGAATGAGCGCAGTTGCTTTCCTCTCGGTCTGAGAGGCAACTGCTGTTTTTTTTTATTTTTAATTTTCTTTTTTTTGTTTGTCCTTCCCTTCGTGGGCCACACATCAGAAGGAGACACTGCAGATTTGCTTCCCTTTCATCTTCTTCTTCTTTTTTAACCTGTCTTCTACTTGTCTGTTATTATTTTTGTTGCCATGCCGGTAGTTGGCGTAGCTTCCAAGCTTAGGCAACCCTCTGCAGTGGGCACGAAGCCAGTGCACACCGCTCTCCCCATCCCTAGCGCGGTCAGAGCAGCCACCTCGCAGGGCTACATGGCCCGACAGCAGGAACTCAGGACAAACGAAGGTGCCCCGGGGCTCTCATGCCAACTGTCAGTCAAGTCTGATTACAAGCGAGAGAAGAGCCCAGAAGGGAAGTCCAAAGCCGAGACGGAGGAGAGCAAGATCTGCAAGGTTAGTGGAGATGGACAGACTGTTAGCAGCTACGTGTGCAGGTTGTAGTGACACTCGGAGACACAGGTGTCAGAGAAGAGACTGTCTCTCTGTGGCTGCTTTGCTCTCTGAGCAGGTGTCATTCAAGCCTTGAAACAGAGCTCAAGCACACAGCAGTGAATCATGTGTGCGCTGGTGGGATGGTTTTGCCGACTTTGGGTCATCAACTAAGAAGGGAAACTGGATGAGTAATGTATTGCCGGCAGTGTATTACCTCATTCTGCTGCCCAGTTTCCATACACTTTAAAAATGTGTGTGTGTGTGTGTGTGTGTGTGTGTGTGTGTGTGTGTGTGCGTGTGTAAGGTGTGTTAGTAGCGGACGAGAAATGTTGTAGGTATTCAGGCATTTGTATATGCATTTTGTCGAGAAATATGAAATTCCTGATCAGCTCGTCTATGGAGACATAAGCTACTGTAGTAGGCCAGAGGATTAGAGGAACATGGTTTGTGTGTACACGCTCATGCAGGATAATAATTCAGATAGATTACAGGTGCTGTCCCCCTGTTCTCAGAGCATATTCTTAATACGTCCAGCTGCATCAAAGTGCTGTAGATGAATAATAGGTTCAGATAGTCTTGTTAAGTGCTTCACCCTGCAAGATCAAGGCTGTTCCAAGTTCTTTCCCTTTTGCAAAAATGTTTGGCTCAAACTGGAACAGTGAAGGTGGGGCTGGTGTATCCTGAGAAGGAAGCAGTTTTCAAAACTCCCCGCCAAATAGCTTCAGCAGAGCCTCAGCCCATCCCACATCCAGTGAGCGCAAAGTGAAACTTTCCTGTTTAGCTAGTTGATCTCTCCCCCTCCCTGCACCGGCTTTTGATTCTTTTTACCGCTACATGATTTCCTGACAGACAAAAAAGTGACTCCTTAAGTGTGAATCTTTTTTTCTCTGATACTGAACAAAACTGCTGATCTTCCTCGTGATCTTGAAGAAATGTGGGCAAAAGGCATTAAAGCAGGGGTCAGTGCGCCTTCTGCATTTAAATCCTCCCAGTGTGTCTGTGATTGAGTTGAAGTCACCTGCAGGGTGACTGTGAAACAGGTAGGGAGGGGGGTGTTTCATCATTAACCTGCTTCTGAACCGGCAACTTCAGCTTGACTTTCAGCTCGTTAACACAGCTTGACTGCCGCTTGCTCCAATAAGTGACTGTTTGTTTTTGACTGGAGATTGAAGGAGGTGAATTTAGAAGTTGATTTTAATTTGTGCCAATGTCCATTACTTTTTATGCTTTGGAAATTTCTCCAGGTTTCCCACATCTTTCTATCTATATTTTCACATGTTCTTTTCTTGTTCATGTTTATTCAGTGTTCCATAAACAACAAGGTCTACTGTGACAGATATGTTGCAAGTGCACTGCAGTTCTGACCCTCATCCTTCATATCACTAGAGGTTTGCAAGACTAATGGACAGAGCATCAGCTAAACTGCCTGAAATGAAGTGCAATCAGCGCACAATATTATAGTCCTTGTCCCTGAGAAGCCTGTAGGCAGGCAGAAATCACTTGCCTGCCCCAGCCTGTCAGTGTGTGTAAGGAATGGGTGGTATGGAGGGGGTAATTAGTCTGTCTAATTGTGTTGTGTAGTCACTAAAGAGCTTTACTTTCAGGACTTCCAGAGGGAAAAATAATGGAGAGAAAGTAGAGTAAATGCTGTCATTATTCCTTCACATCAACCAACACCCCCTGTTTGATTTAGAGTCCTCTTATCAAACAGGATCAACAGGATCAAGCACAGGTCTATGTATGCACATGCACATGTGTACCGCGCATGCTTGTTTGTGCACATGCAGCCCCCACCTCCATATATACAGTGGTGCCAGCATGTGTTAGCTTGTTTGCCTGAGATTAAGCACATCCTAACATGATTGGCGTTTCCCAAAGACGAAAGTATTTTTTCGATGTTTAAGATTTCACCTGCCTGTGGTGGAAAATTCCACTTGTCTGCTTAATAAATTTTAATGAAACATTAATAACAACGTGTGTTACATGTCATTGTGAAAGCACAATCGTGAACCCAAGAGTCCCCAAGAGTCCAGCATATCCCATTGGTATTGTTACTCCTGGAGCAGAATGACCATGACAAAAGTGGAAGAAAAATAAATATTTTATGTAAGTATTAAACACAGTAAGTGCTCCAGTGCTGGTTTTGACAGAGCCAAGAAGGAAGTCCAAGTGAATCTTAATACAAGCTCCTCTAAAAACAAATCATAGTCCGAGTCCAAAGCTGAAGGTACTTTGTAGCTATGGCAGAGAAAGGCCGCCGCACTCACGCTCCATCTGTGATAAGCAGTGGACAAAAGTGTTGCAGGCTGTTACTTGGGTGTCTAATGGCGTGCAAAGGGCACAATTAAACTTCTCAGACAAGGTTAATTTTAGTTCATCCAGTTTCTGTTGTGGCCACTGTCAGCTGGATTAATTCGGTCTGCATTTATTGTGAGGTGGATAATCCCCCATGGATCTACAACACAATAGACTACACTTATTTCATAGGAGTGTCTGCAAGTCTGTGCGTACAGTGTGTTACTTTCCACTGTGTTTTCGAACTTCTGATTTTGCCACTAAATTTAAATTAACAATTAGTATAACTCTTTGTACATATATTACAGATACCAGGAATTAAGTTAGATTCACTGTAGATGATACTGCTGGTGGGCTTTTTACAGCTAACTTTGCAAAAGCGAGAACCTGAAAGACATTTGCTGTGAGTGGCAGAAATTGCTGTCTACTGAAACAGATTCTGATTGCATCAGATGATCAGCCTTTCTTTCTGAAGTACTTTCACTGCTTGCAATGCTATGAATTTCCAGGTTACCTTAGCTCTTAGCTAAAGTTAATTTCAGTTCTCACAAATGCAAGCAGGTGGAAGTGAAAACCTTGTGTGTCTTTAGCAGTGTTGTGCAACACCTTACCTCTTCATATATCTCCCATGTCAATCTATGGTTCTGGGCTGTCAAAAAGTACTTCCATATAACCCTCCACAATTGAGATTAGAATACAGCTCTTCCTGTTGTACTCTCTGCCGACAGTTCACATCAATCCTTGCCTACGGCGCTGCTAGATGAATGGGTTCAGTGAAGAGTTTGTGCGAGTCGACTGAGCCTTAATGAAGTGTCAGCATTGGTACCACTGATGGGGAATTATCTTGTACATCTAGAGTTTTGGCAGCTGTCCAAATCACACAGCCCAGAGACTTATTTAGCTGGTATTTTACGGTTCTCTTTGAGGTAGCGCTTTAAATTGCATCACACTCTTGTTATTGATTCTATGGTAGGGTGAAAAATAAATAATGCTGATGGGGTTTCTGTTTATTCATCCTTGAAGAAATATGTGGGTGCTAAAGCTATGCCTGTTCATGCCTTTATGCTTTGCTTGCGCTTGAATTTGTTTGTTTGCGGACAACTTTAAGTACCTGTTACCTTAAAGCTGAAACGTTGCTACTCTGCCATGCGCTCTCTTAGTGAATACTCACACTGAATAGGGGTGTGAGGGTGTCTTTGTCTCAGAAATGCAGCTCATTGTATATACAAGCGGTGAATGTTGCATGTTGCTATTTTTGATGTCCTGTGATGTTAGTTGTGTTATCCTAGGATGTAAGTGTTTCTGGTGCTAGAGAGCACCACACACACGCACCCACTTAAAGAACAAAAAAACATCCTGTTGATCCTCAGTGTGTTTGCTTTGCACAGCTAATAATCAGGTTCTGTTGTATATTTTTCTTGTTTGGTGCGTCTCCTCTCGTGCTCTGACCTGATAAACCTCTAAGCAATAATATGGGTGAAAGTAAGATGGAATGCTTTAGGGAATAAGGTCAGAGTCCGGTGAGTTTGAGTGAGCAGAATGTAAACAAACCTCCCTTTTTCTGGGGGTGGCCCTGATACTGTCACTTTCTCTTGTCTTCTTTTTCAGTTTTCTACCATTGCCTCTCTTACCATCAGTTTTTGGCTCATGTCTGTGTGCAGTAGGTTTCAGTAGCATGCCAGTCATCTGCAAAGCAATCGAGCCATTGATGTTTTTTTTAGTTTTTTTGGTTTTTAAGTTGATGTCTCGTGTGCAGCACAAATTCATTTGGCACTTTCACACCAGTTTCTTCCATGCAGGCAAAATAATAAAATTAACCTTATACAACAGTTACCTTTAACTGGGTTTAATATTCATTATCACCATTAAATGTATCTACTATAACCCTTATTTTCATGTAAAAGAAAACTTTGTCTTCATGTCATTTGATTTTTTACAGTTTACAGATTTAGTAGTTGTGCACTGGCCTATTTAACCTCTGACAAACCCTGGCAGGTTCTGCCTGGATGTCAGCGGTCAAGGCATGCTCTTTTTGGCTTTCCGGCTTTCACTCAGTTCTCACTCAACCCCTCAAGTGGCTCTGACACTGCTGAAACAACAGAGAAAACAGAGGGAATGAGAGGGAGGCCAGCTTGTTCCAGTAGAGGGGAGGGAGGTTGGCTGAGATCGGTTCTGCAGGGTGTCTGAACGTGTTCTAGTCATTGGGTGGTCTGACTCGTTGTGTGCCGAACTCCATATCTGGAAAAGAAGGGGGTGCGGATACTAACAAACAGGATGAGCACTTCTTCCAGTAACAAAGACCAAGAGAGGTGATTCTTTAAAACACTGTGACAAGATTAAAGTATTGTTTTAAGTTGCACTGATTCTAAACTGCTTTTTTAAAGGAACCCACAAAATATTCAATTTCTGAGTAAAGTGGGGTGAGAGATGACATGAAATGACCACTTACATGTGTAACAAGAGATTGCAGCCCATGTTTGTTACAGCAGTTTTTGTCATACTCAGTGTTTTAGCTGCAGCTCTGCAGTAGATTGTCCCTGCAGTTGTGGCAGCAGTGCAGTTGAAGGTCAACGAGTCTGTGGTCTGTTCAGCCAATCTGAAGTAATGTGTTAACAGGGGAGTCCACCCCAGCTCACTAGGCCTGATCCAAGCTGGAAACATGGCAG